ATTATATTATATTATATTATATTATATATTAATCATATTATTTGTTTTCTACTATGAAATTGCCAAGTCCTATTATTAATGCAGTTATAGTCAACAAATATTCCTTGGTACCTTTTTATTTTGTTACGTTAAAATGCCATTTTGAACTGTTTTGTTAACGTGTATCTTTCTAACTCGTTAGACTGATTCAAACTCTATGAGTCTTCTTGACTGAATCATTAAAAAAAAACAGTTCATAAGAGTCATTTGTTCATGAATCGGAGTATATTGTATGCTTGTTTGAATAGAGTAAATATGGGTGAATGTTATTGCAGATTGACATTACTAAATTCAAACAAGTAAATTCATGTTTTCTACAATATAGCCCCTTTAATGTCTGATGAGAGCTTTTTTTATGTTTATGTCTTCTCTTTCATTCTATCACTTTTTCCCTCTGTATTTCTACTGCCTTCTCACAACGCCAAAACTTCAACCCCCAAATAAATGCTTTGTTTTGTTTTGCCGTAGCATAGATTGGCGCTGGCGAAAGTGACACGTTCCTCGCTGAAAGGAGAAAGTGGCTCCCCGAGGAGCGCTTGACAAGAAAATGAGCCTTTTCTTTATTCCAGAGTGACAGGGGAAACCTTATTATATGATTACACCACCTACTGTAATGGACTCTCAAGATCCCACTCTGGTTGCAGACAGCGGCTTGTGTTTCCAGCTAACTCTCTCCACGCTAACAGACTGCTCTATCCTTTGGTTTCTCTCTCAATGTCTACAGTAGTGGTTCTCAACTGGTGGGCCGTGACCTAAAATTGAATCTAATGTAAAAGGCCGTGTGTCTGCGGCGTTTCGGTGTAAATTCATCTGTCACTTGGTAGAAGTTAAAATTAGACAGGTTGACAAATTAGTCAACATGGACAGGTTGCATATCACCTACTCTGAGTTTCAGAGTTGACAAAAACAACCAAATCCAACCTGGTTTAGTTTTATTTTATGAGTTTATGATTAACTCCAGAGCTTGTGCACCTGTAAGTGTGACATCAGCGGCAAACAGCCAATCACAAAATGTGGAGAGCCTCAGTTTGATTCATTTCTCATGAGAGAGGTTAAGAGACCATTGAAAAATATAATACATTTAAATACATTTAGAAGGCAAGGAAAAACATCACAGCTGTCTGAGTTTGAGAAGGCAGCTGAAAGAAAATATCTATATTAATACAAGTGAATTAATTGAATTTAATTAATCATTTATATAATTTCACAAAGCGCATAAAAGGAAACGCGTAAGTTGTAGCTGTTTTAAAATTGTATATATTCTAAAACCTGTATTTATATTTATTTAAATTAAAAGTTGATATAATAAGGATATCATTAATATAAATTAAATATAACAAATATTTGGGTAGACAGTGAATCAATTCATACTGTAATTCATAGGTTTTTGATTTGATTCAGGAAAGATTTTGCCGAATGATGACATTCACAATTAGATCTTAGTTCGATTCAATTTAAATTAATTGAAATTTGAGATTTGATTGATTTTTTTTTTTCTCTCTCTCTCTTTATAACCAAATTCATGGTTGGGGTGACCAAAATCTTTTATATTACGTTATAGTTATTTTTGCTAGAAATAAAGTTATGGTAAGATTTTATGTTTAGAATCCAATTTTTGATATCAATTTCACCTAATACAATTAAAAAGTTTTAAAACAATTATTGAAGTAAACAAGTAACCAGTCATAAAATATGAACAAATGACAAGCAACAGGACAAATAACTGCAAAAGAAGAAAGATACATAGGGAATAAACAGTACTTTATGTTTTCAGGTAAGTTAGTCATAACAGTAGTATTAGATTGTAAGAAATACCACAATAATTTAAAAAAGTAATTAAATGTAAAATAAAACACTACATAGTCTTCACTCTATCAATTAAACTTAAAAGTTTAAAATTATTCAATTGAGAGCATGGAAGTAATCTAATGTTTAGATACAGTAATTCAAAATATTTAATAATGCTTTACAAAATTGAATTTTTACCATTTAATTTATTTTTAGCATTTTTAAACTAGCACTTTCTAAAAAGAAAATTCATGACTCAAAAAATCCATGTTTCAAGACTGATACGTCTGCGACAGCAGGATTTGTTATACAGGTCACACAGAATGATATTCAAAATCACCTTAGATGCTTTTAATAGTACATAATCAGTACCTGAGATTATCATTGTAAATAGTTTGTATGCTGTTGCTCCAGCAGCTGGTTAGGACAAAAACTGATTGAACACTGATTAACATGGAAAAGTTGCCTTTTGTCATACTGTATCTGGTTAGGACACGGTGTGGAACTGGCTTCATAGGCCATAGATGCGTTTAGGACATTTTAGTTTATTTTTGTGCACTCTAAACAGTGTTGGTACTGTGCTGGCTAAACCAGTTGAGAACCAGTAGTCTATGGCACAATGGGCATATTTGTGTGTCTGTGTGTGTCTGGCAGTGGGCAGGCAGACCACGGCACCCGCCACCATCTCTGCAGCCGCTGCTGCGGCCGGTACCACCACCAGTCTGGTGGAACAAGGTAGCCCTCGTCCCCTCACGTCTCACCCAATCCTCCATCCATCCATCCATCCATCCTCTCTGCTTCATGTTCTCCTTCTCATGATTCATATTCAAAATGGAACTTGGAGCATGACAAGGTTACAGCGGTCTCGTGTTCAGCACTGCAGATGCCGCTGGCTGACTTTGGGAATGGCCATTAGATCTCTTTTTTCTTTAGTCTTTCAGTTCTACAGTATCTCTCTTTTCCCTCTTTATCTCTCTCTCTTGCAGTTTTCATAAAGCCCCGTTCACACTGTCTGTGATATGCATCGCTGCAGGTCGAGTTGTTCATATAGCCCTGAGATGTGTGTAACCAGCCATAGTTTGTTAATATCTGATCATAAATGGACCCGATTGGTTCTCTTGCAGCTGAAAATTTGAATTCTGGAGAAGAAAGTGTTGTAATTGCAGCTGTGCATAATGCATTAAATCATGAACAAGATTAAGGATTATTAATGCATGAAACTAACTTATTTAAAATGCACAGTTTGTATTCGATCAGCTGTGCATGGGTTAAATTTTTAAGGAATGCGTCATTTAATAAAATATATACCTTTGATATACGCTACCATATTTTAAATATTTTTTTAATATGTTTATTCCGCTTGGACACATTAAATTGATCAAAAGTGACAGTAAATACATTTATAATGTTGCAAAAGATTTCTATTTCAAATAAATGCTCTTCTTTTGAAAATTATATTCATCAAAGAATCCTGTAAAAAAAATGTATCAGTTTCCACTTAAATATGAAGCAGCACAATTGTTTTAAACATTGATAATAAGAAGAAATTTTTGTTTATTAAATAAACATATCCATAAACACTAGTGTGTACCTGAGTTGATGACTTTGACAAAGGTCAAAGTCATCAATCATATTGACGTTTGCCCCGGGAAGGGACTACTTACCTGAAGTTGTGTTTGATAAAAGTATCAGCTAAATGCGTTTGAAGCATATGAAACTGTAAAATTGCTCACTTCTATTAGTAGTTGCTGCTCTATTTGCATAAAGTAAAAGAAAAAAAATATTTTATGCTTTGTTGCATCGCAAATGCTCTTCTTTTTAAAATTAATATCATCAAAGAATCCTGTAAAAAAAAATGTATCAGTTTCCACTTAAATATGAAGCAGCACAATTGTTTTAAACATTGATAATAAGAAGAAATTTTTGTTTATTAAATAAACATATCCATAAACACTAGTGTGTACCTGAGTTGATGACTTTGACAAAGGTCAAAGTCATCAATCATATTGACGTTTGCCCCGGGAAGGGACTACTTACCTGAAGTTGTGTTTGATAAAAGTATCAGCTAAATGCGTTTGAAGCATATGAAACTGTAAAATTGCTCACTTCTATTAGTAGTTGCTGCTCTATTTGCATAAAGTAAAAGAAAAAAAATATTTTATGCTTTGTTGCATCGCTAAATTGACAGATTGTAATGAAAATAAATGACTTCATGTCATTTTGTTGCAAATCGCAGTCAGTGTTTTTCTCTCCCCTGCTGGAAAAACCAGGTCATATCAGTTTAAGGCGGTCAAGCTGGGTTTTTTTCAAATGTGGTTGCTGGTTTGTTGTCTAAAACGGTTACCAAATCTTACCAGCTTGACCATAATCGTCTACCAGATCAAAACCAGGCTCCACAATCCATCTAGACCAACGAATGTCATTAAATGTCAAGGTTAGACCAGTATAGTCTCTGTTGATTATCTGTAGAAGGTCTAGTGTTGTATAAGCTGAATTTTCATTGTTACTGGTCTCACATGCATCTGAATAGAAGTGAATGGAGCATGAAGTCTAGTGTGACTGCAGATTTAGACCATCTGACTCCGATTTAAAGTGACCAACCACAGTTCATTTTGTTTTAATGTGATGATTATATCCAGGTAAATCTAAAATCAATGTATCCTGAATATAAATAGTGCAGCAGGCGGCCAGTCAGATTTAAAGTGCCTATGTCAGCAGTTGGTTTTAGCTGGATTTTCCATCAGGGTCCCTTTATTCTCTCTCTCTCCTTCTATCTCTTCTGATTTCTATTTGCACTCATTCTCTCTCCTCCACGTCTCCGCTTGCTCCATCCATCCATTTGCAGATTTGTCATTCTTCAGTGTTCTGCCTCTTTCTTCCTCCCTTGGGTTTCTTTTTTGTGTAAGATCTCTTAATTGTAGGTTTCTCTCTCTTTCTCTTGCCTGCCTGCTGATGACTGAACGTTGCACGAGAGCACACGCATGTCTCCTGATGCAGGAGAAGCCTGATATGATCTGATCCGATCTGATCCGAGTGCATGTGTCTTAAACCTGTGTGTTCAGGAAAGGGGGTTCAATGTCCTTTCAGCACTAAATTCTAGGATTGCTTGCAGTGATCTGGCACTTTTACTCTTGGCTGGTTGCAGCATCCATGCAGCAGGTTTTCAGTGAATATTATTAGCATATTTTGAGCTTAATGTCTGTGGACTGTTGATTGCCACAGCTTATTTTCTAGGTGGTCCGTTCAAAAATGAAAATTCTGTTATCATTTACTCACGCTCAATGTCGTTCCAAACCTGTATGATGTACATTAATTTCTTTTTTAGAACATGGAAAATAATTTGAAGAATGTGGGTAACCAAACGGTTTCGTGTCCCATCGACTTCCATATTATTTTTGTCCGTACAATTAAAGTCAAACGGTTTTCTGTCCCTTTGACTTCCATAGTATTTTTTGTCCATACAATGGAAGTCAAACAATTTTGTGTCCCATTGACGTCCATAGTATTTTTTGTCCATACAATGGAATTCAAACTATTTTCTGTCCCTTTGACTTCCATAGTATTTTTGTCCATGTTAGGGAAATCAAACGATTTTGTGTCCCATTGACTTCCATACTATTTTTTGTCCATACAATGGAAGTCAAACAGTTTTGGGTCCCATTGACTTCCATAATATTTTTGTCCATACAATGGAAGTCAAACTATTTTCTGTCCCTTTGACTTCCATAGTATTTTTTGTCCATGTTAGGGAAATCAAACGATTTTGTGTCCCATTGACGTCCATAGTATTTTTTGTCCATACAATGGAATTCAAACTATTTTCTGTCCCTTTGACTTCCGTAGTATTTTTGTCCATGTTAGGGAAATCAAACGATTTTGTGTCCCATTGGCGTCCATAGTATTTTTTGTCCATACAATGGAATTCAAACGATTTTGGGTCTCATTGACTTCCATAGTATTTTTGTCCACACAATGGAATTAAAATGGTTTTGGGTCCCATTGATTTCCATAGTATTTTTTGGCCATACTATGAAAGTAAAAAAGACCCGAAACTGTTTCAGGACTGAAACCAGTTACCACATTCCTCGAAATATCATCTTGTTTTGAATAGAACAAAGAAATGCATACAGGTTTAGAACAATGCGAGGGTGAGTAAATGATGATATTCGTTTTTGGGTGGACTATACATTTAAATTTTTCAATGTAACCATGTTCTGTAACCATTTTTTCACACTGAGGGTAACCTGTATTTGTAGTAAAACCAACAGCATTATTCAAATAGAATCCATGGACATGAAATGAAATATAGTCTGCAGTAGTCCTTAAGTGAGGCACTTTCATTTCAGTCCAAGACTAGTCTAGGCAGTTTATACTTGTGTGAAATTTAGTTTGATAATCATTATAACACAGTTGCACATTTTGAATTTAGTTTGGTTGGACAGCAGTGCATCTGTAACACTTGTGACCTGGTTTACTCATAGTGCACTGCTTGACAATTTTAAAATAATTTCTAGCGGTCTGAATATTTTGTTTTGATCTATTTTGTAGATTTTTTTTCCCCACAGATGCCCGTCTCTGCATTTGTCCTCCACGTCTTTGCCGTGTTTTGTGTGTGTGTGTGTGTGTCTCAGGTGTTTTAGATGAATCGGGTTTGTTGTCACCTCTAGGTGTCACTACAAGTGTGTCATGGAGGAAAAGGCTTCAAAATGGCACAAGATAACGATTAGAAAATGAAACCAAAGAATGGAACATAAACCTTTTTATATGTTAGATAAGAAATACACATTTGAACCCCCTGCCCTCGTTCAGATAAACACACTCCAGATGAACCCGTGCTGGTCTCTCTCTCTCTTAATCTATTCTTTCTTAATCTCTCCTTCTCTCCGTTCCTCTCTGCCTCTAACATTTGTGTCAAGGTAAGATTCTCTCTCTTTTTCTGTCTTTCTTAACCCTCCCTCCACACAACACCTTCCTCTTATCTGCACGGATTAATAAAGTCAGGGCTCTTTAGCGCCGTAGAAACACTAAGAATATTTCTTTATGTGTTGCCATGACAGTTAATATAGGATTTGCCAGCTCCATTTCATTTGATTTCATTTTAGTGATGAGAAGTTGTCTTAGACTGTTTTTATTCACTTGGACAAACTTCAACATTCTCATTTGTGGCAAGAAAATGCAGCATTGTGCAGGTCCTTGCCGCCACATGAACAAAATATTTGAATGTATCATGCTTTAACGGCAGTATGCGTGAGTCTGTGGGTTTATTTAGCTGTCCTTTGGGATAGAAGTGAACTAAATCTGACAACCTGCCTTTGGGAGATTATAAAAATGATTTATAAATGAAGTGAATAATATACACTACTGTTTAAAATGTTAGGGGTCAGTAATTATATATATATTTTTTATTAATACTTTCTTTCAGCAAGGATGCATTAAATTGAGCAAAAGTAGCAGAAAAAGCATTTGATCTGATCTTGAGCAGCAAATCAGCATATAATAAATTACATTTTAAAATATATTAAAATAGAATACAGTTATTACAGAAATAGTTATTTTAAATTGTAATATCATTTCACAGTTTTAGTGTTTCACTGTAATTTTATCAAATAAATGCAGCCTTGGTGAGCATAAGAGATCTCTCAAAAACATTAAAAAAACAATCTTTCAGACCCCAAACTTTTGAACGGTAGTGTAAATGTCTTTTTGTTTTTGTTTTTGTTTTTTCCCCAAAAGGTTTATTTTATGGGCAGAATTAGGATTAAGGTTAGTTTTATACTACAAAAAAAAAATAAAAAATTTAAAGTAAAAAAAAAAAAAAACATTCTTGTATATATTGTATTATATATTTTTATCTTATTTTGAGCATAAAGCTCAGGTAATTTTGTTAGGTTCATGCTTAAAAACAAAGGAAAGAAATATATAAAGAATATTTATGTAATGCAATTTGACTTTACAAGTAAATGGATCTTGTTTTATGGATATTTACTAACTAGAAAGTTTATTTTAGGGTTTTATTTTAGGAATTTGGGTTTAGGTTACTTTTACAGTAGTTTTACACTTACAAGAAAAATGTAATCTTTTTCTTATTTAAAGTACACAAAAAAAACTAAAAATAATTTATTAACATTTTAATACCTATACATGAATACCTGTTTCCATATATATTTATGTTATATTTTCATCTTGTTTCAAGCATAAAGCAAAGGTCATTTTGTCTGATTTATGCTTAAAACAAAACAAAGAAAAATCTAAAATATCTTAATATCTAATGCAATTTGGCTATTCAAGTAAATTGACCTTGTTTTATGGATATTTATTATCTATTAATTTGCATCATATAAAAACAACAGAAGTCAATGCTGTATCTTCATTTAGTCAGGTAACCGTGTGTGTGTGTGTGATTGCACTCTTCTGCATGTGCACCAGCACATCCCCTGCGTGTGCATGGCAATCACTAACCCCTCACTGCTGGACGGGATGTTTCGGTCACATTTGGTGATTAATTCTAGCAGGTTTGACTGTGGGCCGCACCGTGCATACTCGTGATGCGTGTGCGGACATGCGCTCCACACGTAGTGTGTTAGACAGCTGTAATCCTCTGGATGTGGGGCGGGAGGGATTTCCCCGGCTGGCTCGAACGGTTATATGACGTTTGGCCGAGCACCATTAGCGCTTCGGTAATGTTGACTGTTGCTCCCATCCCAGCGTGCTGATGTTTGCGCTTCCTCTCTTCCCGTCTACAGCAGCCAAGAGCCTGCTCAACAAGAAGGCCGATGTCAAGGTAAGACCCACTTTCATTTCGTTCCCTTCTTTTTCATACCTTTTTTGCTTTCTGTTCACATCTGCCAAGCACAGTTTCCATAGTTTTCCTGAACGTTTCTTGTTTTTTAATTGGTGAAAGTTTTGGCGTCCACTGTGTGTCTGATCTGAAGCAGATCTGTGTGTTTGCGTTTGCAGTGTTTGTCTCCATGTTCTGTTCTTTCTAGCAGTGTGTGTTTGAGTCTATTCTGCAAGATTATATTCTTCTCTTAAGTAAGCTGGACAATGAGTTGGTGGTGGGCAGTATAGTAATTTTATTTCATAATATGAATAATATATTACGCTCACAGTGTATATCGCAATATAGACATTTTCCCCCTAAATTCAATCCAAAAATGTTATGTATTACATAACTACATACTAATACCTATTTTTGGATTATTCAGTGAATAAAATGGTTTACAAGGAATCTAATTTAGTTTTTTTGGAGCTCGATGGATGGAAAAGTAAAATTTTTTTTTTTTTTTTTTAAGATTCTGAAACAAGTTAAAGCAGTAAAACATATAAATATGATTAGATGAGCCATACTTTGTGTAAAATAACCTTTATAGGAACAACTGTGACTATTTGTGATGTTGCAACCAATGTTATTTTAGTATCTTTTATAGTCTATCATAGTATTTATTAATATGTTGAATTAGATTTTATTTTTTTATTATTGTATTATTTTATTGTTTTTATTTTTATATTTTTTTATTCTGAATTTTAGTAATTTTGTGTTTTTTGTTCGTATTTGTTTTTCTAATATTTATATTTAGCTTTTTTAGTTTGTTTTAGAAATTTTAGTACTTTAAATTAAACTTATTTTATCTCACTTAATTGCTGAAGCAACATTTCTAATTTTCATTTAATAGTTTTTATTTTTTTGTTTAATTTAAACTTATTTTAGTTAATTGCTAAGGCAACATTATTATTTCAGTTTTAGTAATTTTTAGAAATCCCTTTTTCAAGCTTTTCATCTCACATTTATATTCTATTTCAGCTTTATTTCAGTTAACAACAATGATTTTTAATAGTTTTAGTTCTGTCATGACAACTCTCGGAGGGATTGGCATGGTAATGTACATGACAATGTTAATGTATTTGGTCTTGGCGGAATAGATCTGCTACACTGCTGCTGCGGCAGACATGCTGCTGTGAGCATGTAAGAAATATTGCTGCTGCAAATATAACATACATAAAATAACCCCCATATAGCATACATGAATCAACTCATAGCAGATCTATACAGGTGGAGCTTGAGAAGGTGGAGGGTTTCTGAAGAAAGCTGCAACTGCTACGGCAAGCACTAGTCATATATTTGAATGTTGAGCAGCGAGCTCATTGGCTACCGATACAGGAGAGAACCAATCAGCTGTGCCATGTGATAATGATGTCATTAGGTCAGATTGAGTTAGACCTATCGGAATGCACCATCTAGAGTTTCATGCCGGTGGAGCTGGGGAAGGTGGAGGGTTTCTGAAGCAAGCTGGAACTGCTACGGCAAGCACTAGTCAAATATTTGAATGTTGAGCAGGGAGCTCATTGGCTAACCGATACAGGAGAGAACCAATCAGCTGTGCCATGTGATAATGATGTCATTAGGTCAGATTGAGTTAGACCTATCAAACTGTGCCATCTAGAGTTTCATGCCAGGACTATGTATTTAACAAAACTCTGGTTGCAAACTTAACCTACACTTACACATGTCAGAATTGTTTTAATTGCACCACAGATATACTGCTATAGAAACAGTTTAGCAAAATCCTTACCAATTGACCCATTCCAGCCATCACTGCGATATACTGCCCAGCCCTAGTATAAGCTTGTGCACTCAACCTTAATCTTTCTTTAATTTCTGATCTGCATCTTATCTCATTATTATCTCTATATAGTTTGCTCATAGTGCTTCGGTCATTGTTGGACTTGCCCCGATCACCATCAGTTCTATTCAGAGCATTCCGGCGTTCGGTTCCACCCGGCGTGCGTCACGCGGCATCAGGTGAACGCGCACAGATGTTGACCTCCGACCCATAATGAGCTGTTAGAGAGAGTGCACTTGCAGGTTCATTTGTTCTGATAACATATAATCCTCTCAGACAGAGTAAAAAGGTCGGCTTTCACCTCTATTGCACCGCAGAATTAGAAATGAAACTGTGACTGCTCTCTATTAGGGATTGGATGTGGAGTCTAATCTAGAGAATAATCCCCTCTGCACTGAGCATTAATCATACGTTACATAATCTTTTAGCGTGCAAGTTTTTATGAGGTCGACGCTAAAAAGCACTCCAAGGAATGATGCCGCATTTCTGTAACATTTAGTCCTGAATAAATGAAGATGTTTCAGCTGAACCCCAGATATCACGCTTTAAATTTGAGTTATGAGTTATTTCACTTAAAGTTAAGCTCTACAGCCTCCTCAGATTTCTCTTTTTTTTTTTTCTAGCTGTCAGTTTTTATTTTTAGGTGCACTGTCCCTTTAAATTGATATAAGGAATAAACACGTTATATGTAGAGTATAAGTTTTAGTATTTTTGTACTGACAAAAAAAGATTAAAAAAATCCTAATATAATATGCTTCCATTATTGAATTGCATGAAACAAAACACCGGTATTGGCATATACACTATCCTTCAAAAGTTTGAGGGCGGTAAGATGTTGAGGGCCAGTTTTACTAACAGCTTGTGCCAGTGCAAACCGTCTTTTGGCGTTAAAATATTACAAAAATTATTACGATTATTTTGGTCAATATTTGGTCAATATTGTAATCCCGATTATTTAAAACGATTATTAGTGGGCCATATGACCAAAACTTTATATGAAAGATTTATTTAAAGATAGTGATATATATCAAATATATATTTTCTGTAAATAAGGTTGCTATGACCTCTACATTATAGAGACCAGCGAAATGTCACAATTCTCAATACCACAGCAGAATACCAGAGTAACTAATATTAGTTTAAAAAAACAACAACAAAAAAGGTCCTCAAAATTATTGCAAATAATTAAACCGTAATAAAAAAGCAAAGGAATACAATAGAATAAAAAATATACAAATGAAACAAACTGTGCTTTAAGTTTTTTTTTAATGCAAGTCTAAAGTATTCAGTTAATGGCCTACTAGAGAAATTGAATAACCTAATGTAAAATAAAACAACATAGTCTTCACTGTAAGAATTAAACTTCCTTTGTTTCTTATTAAAGCTACAAAAGTCCTTCAGTCAGGAGCAGTGAGTGATTTTGAATGTGTCTTTTGTTGTTTGATTAATATTAAGCACACAGTCGCAGCAGGAAAATAGCCCGCTGTCACTTTAAGAGCCGCACGGATCCAATTTACTGTTACACAAGTATTTTCATTCCTAACTCTTTACATTCATTAATTACATAACCGACGAGGGTTTACGTGAATAATCACTAAGCGCCGCATTTTGACACATTTGTTGTGTGTATTTGACCGTTTAGGTGCTAAAAGATGACTTTACATGTCCGTGTTGTGTTCCGTCTCTGAGCGCATCCACAGTAATCTTCCCGAGAAAGCGCAAGTTCTTTCACGCTTTTAAAAACATAAATCAATCTAATCAACTTAACTCAAGCACGTCCTGGTTTGCAAAAGTCTCGTTACATGATTTTACTGATTATGGAGGAACGAAAGAGCACCGCTGGAAAGGGGGCGGAATGGGGCGCAATAATTGTTTTATCTCGATTACTGTATTTTCATAATCGTTGGAGGCCGAAATCGAAACTGAATTTCGATTAATTGCACAGCCCTACTGTCAGGTTTTACCAAAGATGCGCAGTGACAAATTAGCGCTATAAAAGGCGTGGACAGTTATTTTTGCGCCTGATCTTATTGAATATGCATTTGTAGGAGTTTCCTTTTCAGACGGAAAATTTATGGGAGGAGAGTATTAAAATGAATCACGCAACGAGATTTACTAATGTTTGCGCTCGTCAAATTGCTGGCATTTGCGCCTTTATTTAACGCCTAAAAGAGCATGTCTTAAACTAATTTGCGTTTGAAATGGCTGCAATTATTGTTGCTAGAGGAGGCACGGCAGAGAACAGAGAGCACGTGGTAGAAGGGAGAGGATTTTTTCCACACGTATTCATTTATTTGGAATGCCAGAAGAACACATTATCTGTACATATAGTTTGCCAAGCCATGTTATTTTTAATTTGCTTCAGGAAATAAAAGACGACTTCGAACCCTCATCAAGGAGACACTCAATACCAGGTCTATCAAAACTTCTTGCAGCCCTTCATTTTTTGGCCTCCGGTTCTTTTCAACGTAACTAACGTCGTTTCAATGTTTAGTAAAACTGGCCCTTAATGTTTTTGAAAGAAGAAAAATGAATTGCCCCCTTCTGTTAAATCATGAAAGAACTGTGATTAACTGTGTTGAATCAAGAAATCACTTAAATAGAACCTGTCTGACAAAGTGAAGCATGCTTAAAGAGCAACACATCATGCCGCGATCTAAAAAAATTCAAGAACAGATGAGAAAAAAAATTTGTTGACATGTATCAGTCTGGAAAGGGTTATAAAGCCATTTCTAAGGCTTTGGGACTCCAACGAACCACGATCAGAGCCATTATCCACAAATGGAGAAAAATTGGAACAGTGGTGAACCTTCCCAGGAGTGGCCAGCCTACCAAAATTACTCCAAGAGCGCAACGACGACTCATCCAGGAGGTCATAAAAGAACCCAGAACAACATCTAAAGAACTGCAGGCCTCACTTGCCTCAATTAAGGTCAGTGTTCATGATTCAACAATAAGAAAGAGACTGGGCTTTTTTTAAATGAAATCATTATTTCAAAACGGCATTTTGTATTTACTCGGGTTATCTTTGTGTAATATTAAAATTTGTTTGATGATTGATTGTTTGAAATAAAAAAAACAAGAAGGGGCAAAAACCTTTTCACGGCACTATATATATATGTATATATATATGTACAGTATATGTATACACACATTTATCATTTGTATACTATTTTAGTTTTTTAGTTTTAGTTATTTTAGTACATATATTTAAAATGAATTAAAATTAGAAATGTAGTATTTTTTCATTATTTCTTTTTATTGTTTTACTTACAGTATTTTACTTATTTATTGTTTTACTTTTTAATTTCGGGTATTTTCTGCTTATTTTGTTTCAAATGTTTTTTATGTTTTTAATTCTAGTTTTAGTTTTACCCTGATAAAAACTGTAATATTGTGAAATATTTTTACAATTTAAAATAGCATTTTTTTCTATTTAACTATATTTTAAAATGTAATTTATACCTGTGATCATTACTTCAGTCTTCAGTGACACACGATCCTTCGGAAATCATTCTAATATGCTGATTTGCTTCTTAATATCAATGTTGAAAATAGTTGTGCTGCTTCACATTTTTTTAGAATTTTTTTCAAGGATTATTTTATGAATAGAAAGTTTAATAGAACAGCATATGAAGAGTTTGTTTCCAAAAACAGATAACTGTTTTTTTTGTTTTTTTCCCCCCCCAAAATCATGTTTTTTTATTATGTTATCATGTTTTTATTGTGTTTTATTGTGTTAGTTAGCTGTATTTTTTGTAATTTTTTTAACTGAATCAAAATAACTCAACTGCAGTTTGACTGAGATTAATTGGAATGCACAATGAAAAAACATGATTTGTGAAAATTGTTAACGGAGTTATCTGCTTTTGCAAATGAACTCCTCATATATTTGATATAAAAATATTTTGTAACGTTATAAATGTTTTTCTTGTGACTTTTGATCATTTACTTTTGGCATGTGAGCTAAGTAGAAGTATGTATTTCTTAAAAAAAAAAGCTTACTGACCCCAAACTTTTGAACAGTAGTGTAGTAACAAATATGCATTGATATTGTATTTTGACTTTCTCTCCGTATCTGACTGCGGTTGCGTCTGAATCAGCACGGCTCGCCGCCCACATCAGCATTTCAGTCAGACTGTGTTCTCATCCTCAGCTGAGTTCACTTCTTGTTAGCCGCAGAGTGGATATCCTCCACAAGTTCACTCAAAATTGCACCTGCGGCAGGAACTGTTTGCTCTCATTAGGGCCTTTCGCACCGCGGGAACCTTTTCATAGTACCAGAACTAATTGTGGAACTACCCACTTTTTGGCGTTTTCGCACCGCCGGAACTGGGTGCGTGCTTGGGCAGGTGTGATCTTTCATCAGCCCTGTGATCGTCAGCCGCGCTAATGAAGCACTTTCTCTCTGAATCTCTCGCCGCCAATCATTCCATGATTCCTCCTCCCACGCCACGCCTCGCCTCGCCTCGCACCGGATCCACTACATCATCCCGATCCAGAGTGAGAGCAGTGGCAGGAGGGAATGTAGCTCTCGCTCCAGGAATAGCTGGCGGTTTGAACCCAGGGAGCCGGGAGACAGAAATAGACGCTTCCACTGCGCCTCACTCAGTGCTTAGCAACTGGCTCGCCACACTTCTCCATTCTGATGTTTCCCTCCTTTTTCTGCGCTCTGGTTTTCTCACTGTCTTTGGTGCTGCAGTGCTATGAAGAGCATCACGGCTGGAGGAACTGTGAGAAGAGCGGGTTTAATTCTTACAGACAAACACAAGCTCAGGCTTAAAGAAACTACAGATTAATAAAGAGACAGGAAGTAGAATCAGCATGGCAGGAAGAGGAGTTTACTGAAATGTCATTTAAAGAAATGAATCTGTCTATCCATCTATCCATCCATCCATCCATCCATCCATCCCAGTCGTTGATTCTTTCTATCATTCTTTCTGTCCTTCTATCGTTCTATCTTTCTATCTATCGTTCTCTTTCAATCGTTTTATCTTTCAGTCATTCTATCCTTCTGTCCTTCTATCATTCAGTCGCTCTCTCTATATTTTATTCTATCATTCTATCTTTCTATCAATGTATCATTCTCTCTATATATCTATCTATCATTCTATATTTCTATCATTCTATTGTTTTATCTATCATTCTATCTATCTGTCTGTCTTTTGTCTATCATTCTATCTAGTTATCATTCAGTCGTTCTCTCTATATGTTGTTCTTGCATTCTGTCTTTATATCATTCTGTTTTTCTATCTATCTATCTGTCTATCTATCGCTGTCTTTATATTGTTCAATCTTTCTATCCTTCTCTCTATCATTCTGCCGTTCTATCATTCTATCGGTCTACCTTTCTATCATTCTAACTATCTGTCATTCTCTCTTTCTCTTCTATCATTCTATCGTTTTATCTTTCTATCATTCTGTCTATCTGTCATTATATCTTTCTATCCTTTTTATCATTCTGTTCTATCTATCTGTCTATCCATCTATCTAAACTTGATTAGACAATAGACAAAACCTTAAACTTTTTTTCTTCTGAAAATAATTTCATAACTGTAGAGATACAGGAACAGTCCTGTCAACACCTGCACTGACTCAATCCCATCAGCAGCTCTGTGTGTGTGTGTGTGTGCGTGTGCGTGTGTGTTCACAATGATGTATTAAGATCTCTGAGAAGAGAAGGCCTTAAGGACTGTTCTGTACATTAAACCACATCAAAAGTCTTTTATCCACCAAACTCACTTTCTTGCCAAAAACCCACACACGCACCTTCTCTCAATCTTCCTGCCTCTCATACGTCTGTCCGATTCTGTGTGATTAATGTTCATCTCAGCCTGCATCATAACATGTATTTAACTTTCTCATTCCATCCCTCCATCCTTTCCACCCAGAAAAGGAAATCCAGCTCCACCGTTCAGTACATGGTGAGAATGATATTTAATCCTAATCTCTTTATCCCTCCGTCCCTTTCTCTTCTCACTCTTGTTTATCCATTCATTCATTTGCTCATCCTGTTGGGCTTTTATGTCATTTAATGCACAATGTCGAATAAATCTACTCTTGTAATGATCTACATTGATTCTTCTCTTGCTCAAATGTCAAGCAGTTGATTTAAAGGGTCAGATGGCTTTAAATGACTCCTCAGACGCAGGTGAGGGTCGTAGTGTTTTTGGGTTGATGTTATTGTAGGGTTGTATAGCGAGTCATTGTTGACCGTCGATGTGTTAGACTGGCACAGAATGTCTTGTGTGTGTGTTAGACTGGCACAGAATGTCTTGTGTGTTTGGCTTTTTGTTGTTGCTTCCCTGTGTCTGTGTCTCTGTTTGCTGTTGTCTCTGATTGTACTTCCTGTGGATCCATAAGGACTCTCCTCTAGTTCTGCTTTCCTACTGCGACTTTCTCTAAGAAAACAATGGACCAAGCGCAGGTTTTCTGAACTGTTTGCTTAATTCTGTTTGCTTTTTTTTTTTTTTCATTTTGATTCCTTTTATTCAGCCTGCTGGGGGAAACAAAACATAGCATCTTAAGCTGGAAAAGCTGTTTTTTGCTGGTCTAGGGTGAACTACTAGCTTTAACCAGCTTTATCAACACAACCTACCAAGTCAACTTCATACTAACCATCTGGACCAGCAAATGACCAGCCTGGACCACAAAGAAACCATGTAAAACCAGCTATCAGAAACTGGTTTTAACTGGCCTTTCCAGCAGTGCTATGTGATACATTAAAATTATTTCTAAAAATGTTTCATGTTAAAAGAGCAAATCTCAGAAAATGTGTAAAGAACTTGCCCAGGCCACATTTCATGTCAAAAAAAAAAAAAAAAAGTTACATTGTTTAAAGAGTTCAGTTTGTTATCAGTCAGTGTGTTTATCTTGTATTCATATTTATCTTGGATCACTCACTTTGTAGTACACCAGTCCCCGATCCCATCTTTTACTGGTTTGTTCTGTTTGTTTAGGGGGAGGTTTGTCCAGATTGAGACCTTTAAATGTGTAAAAAAAATCACAATTATGCACATTTTCCCAACATTATTTTTCAGTTATGTTAATGCAAAAAAAAGCAACTAATAAATATTGTAATGCAGTAGAATATAAATAATTAAGTATTTATACACCATGGTAATTAAGTTTTTTTTTACAGAATACATATAATTTGTACATAGAATTGTTTAATGAGAATCTAATGATAATCCCTATTTGAAAATAACAAACAATTTCATTAAAATAAATAATAAATGCATCAGCTACTTAAATTAGTAATATTAATTATTAAATTAATAATTCATAAATAAATAAAATTATTTAATAAATATTATTCATATTTATCTTTCCATCAATCTTTTGGTCTACCTTTCCATATATTTGTTCTATTTGTTGTTCCATTATTAAAATGATTAATTAATGAATCAGTTACTTACGGAAGAGGATTAGGGCTTTAGATTAGGGATTAGAGATTGTTTTATCTATCTGTTGGTCTATCGTTCCATCTATTGTTTTATCTGTTGTAAAATGAATAATTAATGAATGAGTTACTTAATAATATTAATTATTAAATTAATAAATTATTTAAAAATAATAAAATATTAAAACTGAAAACATCCAGATACATAAGATAATCAGAAATATTTGGGCATATGTGCTAAATTGTCATAAAATAATTGTCAAAAAAGCAAATCATTTGAATGGTCTCCCAGAAAAGCTTAATTTTCTCAAACTTTCTTGTTTTTCTTTTTAATTCTGTGGTGAAATGTGACATTGACATTGAAATGTACTTCAACGGTTCAGGAGATTCAACCAAATGTATTTGAACAAATGATGTTTGAGACCAAGACCATCAGCCTAGTGTGTTCAGTTGTGTTTTTAAACCAGTGTTGAGCTCAAACATAAAACACAATCCTCACATTATCACCCTGCTCTCTCTCTCTCTGTTATTTCTCTCTTTTCTCGCCCTTAAACACCCACTGACACCCTTTAACACTGTTTTGTGTTCTGCACAGCCACAGTCAAACAGTGCCAAAAACAACATAGTCACCAGTCCCAAAGGAAACGTCCCTTCTCCTGCTCTGGTATTTACCTTCTTGTTCCTCTCTGTTCTCTCTCGCTCCATCTTCTCCTGTCTCACACATGTCTGTCTGTGTCAGCGTCTGGCGCATCTCAGGCCACCTGTCGTTGACGCTGTGTGTCTGTCAGAGACTTGAATCCAAGCATCTTCATCTTTGTCATTGAAACAATGTTAATGTTATGATCGATGAGATTTATAATCCAGATTTGGAGAATTTTGATGCTTTGAGCGTCAGTTAGCTTCATGTTTTCACAAAGATGTGTGCATGAACGTTGTGTTTTTCATTGTTTGGATCAATGGCAAAACAACCAAACTAGGGCTGTCAAAATGGCTGAAAAACTAAATTCGAATTTTTTACAAACTAAATTTTCGAATTATATTCGAATTTAAAAGGCATAATTTCAGTTAGGGGGAAAAAAGCTTTTGGCTTCTCTCCTGAGGCCACAAGAGGGCGCATAGAGCAAAATATTACTAATGCACGTTTCTTCAAAGCATAATAAAATAACATGACTATCTTTGAAAAAAGTGCATAATGTTTAAAATAATGTTTATAAACCTTATATAATTAATAAAGTTGCTTAAACAATTAGAAACAAAACAGCATCATGCATGTATGTATAGTTCAATACAAAGGACCGAAAACCAATCACAAAGAGTACTTTCTTCATTTAAAAATTTGAGATGCAGTGGGATGGGGAAAGAAACGCCGTAAAGTCTCGAGACATGTTTTTTAAAACTTTTTAAGAACTCGCATTAATTTTACATGGCTTTCTAAACATGCAGCTCTCTTGTGCGAGACGCGAGTGCAACGGTGATAGACGTCCCTATAGAAAATGTGATAAATATGCGTTCTGTGTGAACGGCTTGGTTTCGGTTTTGACGTAAACAACAACATCTCCGCATTGATGTTCTCTTTTTCTGCAATATTTTGAATGAACAACGTAGCAACGCCGCATCTAGTGGGTTCAACTGGATAGACTAACAAAAGCATTAAAATGCAACGACACATACATCGTCGTCGCATTTCGTACTCCACTGATAAGGCTGCCTGACACACACCTAAAATTCGAATGCAACGTTTTTGCATTCGAATGTGGATTTTTATTTTAAATTCGACGAATATTCAAAATTCAAATTTTTTTTGGACAGCCCTAAACCAAACTAAGATGTTGGCTCTTTGTGTTTCAATTATTTTTGACTCTCCTTATGACCGTTATAATGTTTCATTAAATATATGTGTTTGTGTGTACGTCTCTGTGCATTTTTGCTTCTTTTTATATAACCTAATGCTGTAAAGTCTGATGTATTGACATTGTTTCATTATTTCTGTTATTTTAATAAATCCAGTGTAATGTAATCAGTACAATATCATCAAATAAAACACAAATATCTTACTACATTTTTTTTTTTTTTTACTATTCAGAGCCTCACAATTGCATTGTTTTTTGACAGATACAGTGACCCAAAAAGCATTTGGCAACTCGAGTCACATTTAAAAATGTCTGCAAAATATAAAAAGAAAATGGCATCTGAAAACATCATAATTTCAAACGTAACAGTTGTTGTTGTTGTTTTTTTTTTGTAAAACATTTTGCTTAAAGTGTGCTTGTGCTGTTTTTTAATTATTTAATTATTTTTTGTTTTATTTTATTTTTTACTTTACTTTTATTCTTTTCCAGCTGATCTAAAATATTTACTTGATATCTACCCTGAGATTTAAAGTTAATATTTCAATAACTTAAAAAAAAAAAAAACTCAAAAAGTCAATTAATAGTCATATAATATGCAGGTTAACAAATTATTATATTATATTATATTATAATCTTTTTAGCATGTAATTTATTTTGTTTTTATTTTTAGAATTGTTTTAATTTTACATTTTTGTTATTTAATTGATTAGCTTTTCATCAACTCCCAATTTGGGAACCCTGCTCTAATGCAATGATATTCAGACATATTTTTAAGTGTGTCTTGAGTGTCCAGTTACATTTTTGGGCAATTATAGATGCTTTGGCTTCGGCTTCAACATCTAATATTGATTAATGAGCAAAACTTCTCTTGAAAAACTTAAAGGTGCAATAGGTGATTGTCTTCAGAAACATTTTTTGTTATGCTGGTTGAAAGTCTCTTCATGTCCCGATAGCAATCATTAAGTTAAGTGGTCTAAATATATTTGTCTGTATTTATATATTCTTTCACGCACGCTGTTCAGACAGAGTGAGAATGGCAGACAAACATCAACAACCAGATCTTCCTTCCTGGTATTGTAGTACTTTTAAAGTTTTCTCACTGGTGAATGACACATGATGTAGCCCAGCGGTTAATCCAGTCTCGCGCCAGCTCGTTAGAAGTGAGCTACGTGCATGAAGTGTGTTCCGATCGATATGATTCCTACACAGTGTTCATTGCTCCCTACTCCCTGAGCGGGGGAAATCTGTTGAAGTTTACTTCACTTCGGAACATGGGCTGGAATTGGGAACCACTGATGTAATGTAATGTAATGCTGATGTAAGTAATGTTGTCTCTGGTATTCTGGTCTGTGAGCGTAAATGCGTTCAGGGGGCGTGGCTTTGGACGGCGATTGCAGGGAGGGTGGGACGTTCGCTTTCAGTGCTATCAGGCTAAAGTTAGCATTTTCCAAGATCTCCTACTGCACCTTTAAAAAGCACCATTGTTGTGTTAACACATCGTTAATAAGAACTGTGTTGATATTCTGAAAGAGATCATCTCATTTTGTTAAGCACATTTCACAGTCCTTCAAGCTTATTTGACCTTGAAACAATATCTTTGTGATTTCTATGCATTTTGTTTTTAAATGAAAGCACTTAGTATTCAAAAGTTCTTAAAAAGTTGTACATTTGTGGTGTTTTAGCTGGGATTAGATGCGTTCACATCTCTGGACTGGCTTCAGATGTTGGGCTTTGACCTTCGACTAATAACCTCCATCCACTTCCTCTTCCTCTCTCTCTCTCCCTCGTTCTAACTGAGACTGCTCTCTCTCCATCTCTCGTCTTTTTTTTGCTAACACTTGTTTTATTCTTGCCATCTCTCACCTCAATCTCATTTTGCTCCTCTTTTTTCCCTCTCCTTCTCGCTGTCTCCTCTTTATTCCTCTTCTCTCTCTTTCTCTTTAGGAGCCTCAGACCACTGTTATCCATAACCCAGTGGATGGGATCAAGGTACATCTTCCGCCCGTCCCTCCCCATCCTCTTCTCTTTCATCCTCCACCTTCCTCTCCTCTTCTCTCTGCTTCTGTCGTCTGCTGCCAGTCTCTTTATTCTGTGGTGCGAGCGGTCGAGGGTGTTGTTTTGGGTTTGTGAGTGAGCGTGCAGTCACATTAAGATGGGAAAGTGTTCGGGTAAGAATGTGGTGTTTAGTATGGTGTTCAGTGTTAATTGTTTCAGGTAAAACAATGACACAGAATGTTCTTTAGACTATTGTTAGTCAATTCACACATGGTTTTAAGCAGAAATTAGTTGAACTTCAACATGGGAAAATTTTACTTCAGTAATATGACATTTTCAAATTAAACAGTTTAGACAACAATAAAAAAAATCACATTACTTTTCAAAACTTTGGGGTTGGTAAGATTTGTTTTTGTTTTGTTTTTGAAAGAAGTCTCTTATGCTTATTTAATTGTAAAAAAAAAAAAAAAATTATGAAATATTATTACAATTTAAAACAACTGTTTTCTATTTGAATATATTGCAATTTATTCCTTTGATCCAAAGCTGAATTTTCAGCATCATTACTTTAGTCTTCAGTGTCACATGATCCTTCAGAAATCATTCTAATATGCTGATTTGCTTAATATTATCAATGTTGAAAACCGTTGCAATGCTTAATATTTTTGTGCAAAATTTTAAAAGCATTTATTTGAAATATAAATATTTTGTAACATTATAATACTGTCACTTTTGATCATTTAATGCATCCTTGCTGAATAAAAGTATTTATTTCTTAAAAAAAAAAAAAAGACTTCCTGACCCCAATCTTTTGTACAGTAATGTAAACTGGTGCGTTGTGAAATGCTCATAAAGTGGTAAAAATTTCTTGGATATTGTTCTAATGTGGTTTGGAATGACTTTTGACATTGCACAGCATTTTATCTGCTGCTTTCTTTAATTATGCCATAACATGATAAAAAAAATACCATATTTTTGGATCATTTTCATTCAATTGTGTTTAAAACTAACCATAGCTTGTCTGAGAAAAATAAAATGGTAAAAAATGTGTACCCTAAATCATCAGCCAAATGCATAAATATAAATGTATAAAATGGCAATTGATTGGATCATGAAGTCTGCCAAAAAGGAAAGTTGTTTTAATTTCATCAAATAGTTATATTTTTTAATTATTATTATTATTATTACATTTTGACTTCAAGGGTGTGATTAAGAGTCATTATTAATTAAAAAATATTATTTTGCTATTGTCATTGCTAAATAAAATTATTATATTTAACCATTTTTATTAGGGTTATTATAGTTAACTAAAACAAAATGAAACTAAAATAAAACAAAAACATTAAGAAGCATTTTTGTTATTTGAAATGAAATAAACATTACATGAAATAAAATATAAAAAACTATATTTCAGGTAGTTATCAAGGCAGCATTTGTCATTTTAATTTGTTTTAACTTAATGTACCTAAACTAAAACTGAAAAAAAAATCAATAAAAACGATTTAGACATATATATTAAAGGGGTCATATGATGCGATTTCAAGTTTTCCTTTCTCTTTGGAGTGTTGCAAGCTGTTCGTGAATAGATAAGATCCCTGAAGTTGCAAAGACTAAAGTCTCAAACCCAAAGAGATATTCTTAATAAAAGCCCTTTAAAAAAAGCCTACAAAAATGAAAGAATTACTAAAATTTAACAGAAATTAAAATAAAAATAGAAGCTGATTCAAAATTTAAGAAAAACTTTAATAGTATCTACTGATACTAAAATAACATGGCTGTTAACCCGTAGCCCAGACTCATCCAATCAGACTTTCTCATTGTTACCAAAAAAGTTTCCTATCCTCTCTCCATAAAGCTCCTCTCCCTCTCTGGCCTCCCGTCCCATATGCATGGCCACAGCTGGCTGAAGTCTGACAGTCCGTTTGCCTGCGGCTCAGACCCTCAAGGTGCCTGCGGTGGGTCGATAACTCGCCCACAGGAACCCATCGAGAGAAATATGAGCAGACGGGGGCTCAGACATTTGCATTTGTAATACGTCAGAAGCTAAATGCGAGCTATTAAATGCGTTTGTGTGTGGGTGGGTGGTTACATGCATATGCAGAGCTGTGTTCTCAATGCTGCCATCTGGGAAAGAGACGTGGAGATGCACAACATAGGAGCTGGGTTTCACTGAATGCCTGTGTTACAGCCTCACCAGGTGGCTGAGCCTGAGATTAAACCTTCTCGACTGTCTACACTGCTGTTGGCACTACAAGTGTAATATGTATGACTGCATTTGTGGTGGTGATTATTCCATTCGTCTCAGTGGTAGTGCTGGTTGTGCTTTATTGGAGTTAGTTGATGTTTGTTGAGTAAATGTTTTGTTGGTGTGAGTGAAGGTGTGAGGTCGGACACTGATTGCTTTTGTCTGTCCTGCAGGAATCTTCAGACAGCAGCAACACCACCATTGAGGATGAAGACGTCAAAGGTGAGAGGCATCTGTTTTTGTTGCATTTCATTGAAACAATGTGATTTTTACCAAGGACTTTGCATTTCTGAAAACATCACTAAGCTCTATAAAGACACTTTTCACAATCCAGTCAGTTCCTGATGGATGCAATCAAGTCATATGCATTTTTTTCACTTAGAAATACAGTATTGTTCAAATGTTTGAGGTCAGTAAGGTGTTTTTAAAATAAATGAATGCTTTTATTCAGCAAGGATGCATTAAATTGATCAGAAGTGACCGAAAAATAATTTATAAGATTACAAAGGATTAGTTATTTTGAACTTTTTTTTCATCTTAAAGAAAATCTATCAGTTTCCACAAAATGATTAAGATTTCAAAAATATTATGTTTTCAGCATTGATAATAATAAGAAATGTTACTTAAGCAGCAAATCAGCATATTAGATTGATTTCGGAAGGACCATGTGACACTGAAGACTGGAGTAATGATGCTGAAAATTCAGCTTTCATCACAGGAATAAATTACATTTTAAAATATATTCAACTGGAAAACTGCTATTTTAAATGGTAATAATATTTCAAAATATAAGCGCATTAAAAATCTTACCAACACCAAACTTTTGAACAGTAGTGTATATCGCATAATGGAAGTTGCTCTGCTTCGTTATACCTAAACCCCATTAATCATGATACAATCATTGTATTGCAAAGCCTCACGTGGCTTATTGCTTTTTGAAAAATAATAGTAATATAAAAAAAAAAACTCACTAATTTAAAATAAATTGCTTTATTATTAATTTTATTTATTAAATACATATTTGTATTATTTTCAATTGTTATTTATTTATATAATTAAAATTACATTTGTTTTTACATGTAACTTTAAAGTTAAAGCTATTTGCTGCAGTCACAGGTTTGCACACATTGCCTCGTCTTTGAACTTTGATAAATCTGTTTTTGAAGCCTTGAATATGAAAAATCTGAAGCTTTTAATTTTTCCGAAATGTAATTTGCATCTGCTATTGTTGTGACATTGTTGTGGCCTTTTGACTTTCTCTGAGTTTGTACGTTTCTTAAGAAGTGTTGGCTTAATTCTGCTCTCCTGGGACGTGCATTTCAGGACACCTTCGGTGTATTTTTATCTGTGGGAACACTGAAAATGTGAGAGATGTGGGCTAAGGCTTTGCGTATGTGTGTTTTATTCACACGGGTAAATATAGGTTCGTTGTGTGGAAATGTCGTGTTCAGAAATGGGCGGGACGATTTGTAACCCTTCCATGTAAATGGCTCAGCCTCAATTGTAGGTTAAGTGGTGTGCCGTGTTCCATCTTTGCACGTCTTCCTTTCTCAGTCTCATCTTTCCAATCTCTTCCCACCTCTTACTTTCCCGCTCAATAGGGAAAAGCCTAGATAGCAGTTCAGTAAAAGCCCCCACTGAAGTCAGCCAATCACCTCCGGGCTCCGCCCCCGCCATCTTCTGTAAGTCTGGTCTGCACTCGTTTGGTTTGGCCTGGCTGGATTGCACGGCATCTAACTTCAGCAAATCCCTGAAAAATAACCAACTTCGTATGAGTTTTGCTCTTCTTGAGGCGAATTATATAAAAAGAGCTAACAAGCTAATCTAAAAACAACCCACTTTCTCTTGCTGATCAACTCCCTGCTGTTGTTGTGTGCGCTGCCCCCCTGAGACAGCAAGTGGAATGGCATGCACTTGAGTTTGGATGAGTCTCTGCCATCTTGCTCCCACCTTCCATCGGTCATCTTTACCTTCATGTGTAAACAGCCACCAAGCTGACCGACATCCTGGGCTGCGCCCGTAGGGGCTCGGGACCCTCTGCCGTGCCTGATAGCGAAGCAGCTGCCCACTCCACACAATCCCCTCCACAGACCCCCATCATGCAGAGTGAGTATAGCGCCCCCTGCAGACCTAAGCACAGACGCTCATGCACAGGGTCCATGAATGTTTTTGGCTAGAGCATTATGTCGTTTTATTGTTTTTGTCATTCAAGTAATTCCTTTTTTAATAATGAATTAATAAGTATTAGTTAACTTAAATAGTTATTTAATAATTAATAATAATAGTAATAAATAGTTATCCATTTTTATTGATTCGATTATTTTTAATAATTATTAATAATCTTCATAATTCAATTAAGTATTAAACAAAGTAATTTAATTATGAAAATAATGTGCTAAAAAATCATTAGTTTGTAATTGTTTGTAATAATTAAATAATATATATTTTTAGAATCATTTTTATACTTTAAAGTATTAATGTAACTTAATTTAATAATAATAAATTATTCATATATTTTAATATATGATTATTAAAATATGGTTTGTTATTAAAGTAATCACGTTGTAATAATTAGTTATTAATTTTAATGATTTAATGAATAATCTAGTATTTAAATTTAGTAACTTATTAAATAAATTAATAAATCATTTAGCTTGATGATAATTATTCAAATTATTTAATAAGTTGTATTAAATAGTAAATATAATAATTATAATAAAATAATATTCAATTGATTAAAGTACTAAATAAAGTCATTTAATAATAAAGTCATTTTTAAGCTGTCAGTTTCTAGTAACAGGGTTATTGTTAGTTGTTAAGATAAAGTGAATTATAAAGATTTATTAAGATAAAGTGAATAGTATTCAGGTAGTCATACTGTATGATATTAATATGTCAGGCCCCATGAGTCGACCCCCTCCTAGTCTATTAAAACTTTTTCTAGGCCACTGTTAAAATTATAATGTGAATGTACATGGTGTACAGTATTACTCATTTCCTTAGGTGTTTAACAGGGAAAACATGCACTTTTAATGTTGGACCCTGTTCGTGTACCGTCTGTTGGCCCAAGTGTTGACCGTTGACCCTTGTTATTGATGCATATCCTGTTCAGTCAGAAACCACTGCCCCATGCATCTTGTTATTTGTCTGATGTTACTGCCTTTTCATCTCTTCACATGTTGTCCATCTCTCTGTCTCTCATGGTGTGTTAATGCATTCCTCCCTTTCCCAACCCGCTAATCCCGGTTCACAGATCTGGTGAGCTGTGTGGGCCGTGCACCTGTCCCGCAACCTCAGACGGAGTCACCTTCCTCACGAACCTCAGTCCCCCCGACCCCAACCTCCCCCTCTCTGTCTCTCATGGTGTGTTAATGCATTCCTCCCTTTCCCAACCCGCTCATCCCGGTTCACAGATCTGGTGAGCTGTGTGGGCCGTGCACCTGTCCCGCAACCTCAGACGGAGTCACCTTCCTCACGAACCTCAGTCCCCCCTCCCCAAACCTCCTCCCCCCCGACCCCGACCCCCTCTGTGTCTGCACAGAGTGAGTATATAGTGTGTGTGCTTATAGCATAAGGTCAAGTCCACGTTGCACTTTAAAGACCCTGATATACTTCTAACGAAATTGAAAAACAAACTGGTGTGGCATCATTTCAAGCAAAGTTTGTATGGAGTTGTCTGGAAGTTCAAAACATCTTGCTCTGGCTGGTAAACCGTTTCCAACTACCACTGGTCCATGGCTATTATGTAACATGTTAGTGTGGCTTTGTTGCTCTGCCTTCTTTCTTTTTACGTGGAAATCTTCTCTGGTTCATTTCTTTTGTTAAGTCCATTGAGGTCATATGCAATTAAAAACTTGAACACTCTGTTGAGCTGCTTCATAGTAGAAATTGTAATTCTGCAATGCTTATCTAAAGTGACACTGACACAGTTTTTTCATGTTTAAAGGGGTCATATGATGCGATTCCAAGTTTTCCTTTCTCTTTGGTCTCAAACCCAAAGAGATATTCTTTATAAAAGTTAAGACTGGTCCACGCCCTCCTAAAACGCCTCGTTTAAACACGCCCCTCACATTTCTACGTCACGATGAGGGAATATTTGCATAACGCCGCCCAAATTTTCACGCAAAAAAAGAAGGCGTAACTTTATTGTTGCTGCCACCGCCGCCATGTTGTGAAGATGCTGTGTGTTTATGAGCTTTGTAAAAATCAACGCGTTTCAGAAAGGTGGGGCATAGAGGAGAAACAATAATGTACAGTATGTGGAAAATAATGTGTTTTTTTAACCTTAAACCGCATAAACACATTTCATTAAACCAAATACACAAAATAATGTTCTTTTTAGCAACATCATATGACCCCTTTAAGAATGTAAAGCTGCTTGCTTTATACAACCTTGTGTGTTGTATGAAGTAGTGGTCGACGGATAAGGATTTTTTTGATTGCTGCTGAGAGCAGGGTTGCCGATATAAAACCGAAATAAATTATATCACTATTTAATTTAAAGATTGTAAAAGCACATGCATAATTGCGGAAATTAAATTTATATTTATTTTACATTATTTGGAACTCTGAATAGGAACTGACAGGCGCTGACATTCTTAGTGCTGTCAAAATAAAAGTCCTATGCACTGTAAAAAATTTAATTTAAATATAGTAAAAGCACAAGCATAACTGCTGAAATGAAATTTGTTTAAAATAATTTGAAAATGTTTAAATATATAAAATTGATTTTAAAAAAATACATCTGTAAAATAAACTTCTATTTAGATGACAACTGCTATCAGTACTAACAATAGAAAAAGAAACGCTACAATTCTTGGTATAAATTTACTTTCTTTGTTTAACAGTTCTTCTGTCTACTAATTAATTATTACAACTGTTAAATAGAGACAGTATATTAAAGATGGAGAATGGGAGTTCCGTGCGCTCAGACAAAGACCCAAGACGTGTCACTCGTATAGTTTTGAATGGGGAAAAATGCAACACTCAATATGGCCGCTCTATCGAACGAAGCCCCGCCTTCTGAGCAAAAGAGCCAATCCCTAATCGGGAAAGTCAGCGTGTCACTGCAGCTGCTGTTAGAAGTCCCGGTTGCTATAGAAACAGTCAGCATTCTGAGACGTGCGCTCAGGACTGCGCATGCGCACTGGCTGGTCTAGCCTGAGAAATAAGCTTTTTTTAACGCTATTTGAGCAACATTTACAACATATATATACATTTACAACATATATATAATAAACAACATTTATGAGATTGTTGTTGTCAGATTTCATTGGTGATTTCAAATATAAAATTGAATCGCAAGCTTGGCAAGCAGTTTTGGAGAATTTGATATTTCCCCATTCAACGAGATAGGAGCTGCACTTGCATGCCCGAGAGGCGTGCCTTAAAGTGACTTTGGCTCAGATGCTGACATTCTCAGTGCTGTCAAAATAAAAGTCCTGTGCACTATTAAAATAAAAGTCCGCTTTGGACACATCTCCAAACAGAAAAACTTTTTGGCCCATGCCGATAATGAAAAATTCCAGATATCGGCCGATATATCAGCTGACCACTAGTATAAAGGGCTATATAAATAAACGTGATGTGACTAGACTGCCGAATTGCAGATCTGGTACAAACATATCCACATCGCTATGATCAAATGCTGTTTTCTCTCCACTGTAATTTTTGTTGTTTATTTTGTTATTGAGAGGAGAGTGCGCAGCATATTCATATTCATCTAAACGCCATTCCCAGCAGTGTGTGTGGTGTCGGACAGTATACGGCTGCTCGGTTATATCAAACATTTTTTACCGCTAAGCGAGGAATGAAAAAGAACTTCTTCATGAGTATATCAGGCCCTTAACAGTCTGCAGCTGAATTCCCATCAACCCTGAAACCAACATATGACATTCGGAAGTAGCAGGAGGCAGTTTTCCCTGATAAAAACAGCATTTAAGCATCTGAAGTGACATTGACGGAGTCTGGTTTGTGACAGAACTGTGATGCACTTCCATACATATCCGCTTGAAGGACGTGGGGCATTTATCAAAGCTGAAGCCACAGTTAGAGACTTTAGATCAGTCCTGCGGTGTCAGATTGACAAGGAGAAACTGAAGGACGTGTCGGGGCCGCTAAGCTCCTCTAAAGTGGAGCAGGAAGCCATGAAGGGAGGGAGTGAGTGAGGGTGAGGAAATGAGAAGTTAGCCGTATCTAAGGATCCAGGAATAGCTCAACTAGCTCCATGCGGTTAACAAGGAAAAGACAGAAGAAGACAAGGAGGAGGAAAGTGGTGGAGATGTTGATTAGATGAGTGTTTTTGTGAGTCTGTGCATGTGTGAGCGTACAAACTTCATCAGGAGAGAGAGCTTAGTCAGAGTATTGAGGAGGAATGGATGAAGGTCTAGACTGAAGATCATGACTGAGAAACTAGGTAAGTCCACAGCAGAGCTGGTGTGTGTTAAACCTCTCTCAGCCTCTCAGGTCTGGAGTCAGGAGGGTGTGACCTTTCTGACCTCTGCCTGAGTTTCAGAGCGTTAACTCTTGGTTAAGGTTGACATCTGTCTGTTCATGTCCTGTACAACAAAGAGGAACAGTTAGCTTTGGCTCTGTCAGTCTATAGTTTTAAAGAACCCATGAATGCACAATTTTCTTTCCTGTGCTGATGTATTTCCTGTTGAGACAGGAAGTTGGGGCGGAACATGCACTACTGCTAAAAAGTTTGTTATTAGTAAGATTGTAAAGGAAATTAATCCTTTTATTCAGCAAGGATGCATTAAATGCATTGAACTTTCTGTCTATCAAAGAATCCTGAAAAAAAAAGTATCACGACTTGCACAAAAATATTAAGCAGCACAACTGTTTTCAGCATTGATAATAATCAGAAATGTTTCTTGAGCTGCAAATCAGCATATTAGAATGATTTCTGAAGGATCATGTGACACTGAAGACTGGAGTGATGATGCTGAAAATTCAGCTTTACATCACAGGAATAAATTACATTATAAAATGCATTAAAATAGAAAACAGTTATTTTAAATTGTAATAATATTTCACAGTATTACAATTGTACTGTATTTTTGATCAAATAAATGCAGCATAAAAGATTTATTTAAAAAATACTTACACCTAAGATTAATAAAGGCTGTGATATATTGTCCATTTTGATTTTGTTTATTTTTTGGTCCATTTTAAGCACCTCGTATTTATTGGGTCTTTAATTCACATGTCTTTTAATGTAAAGATGAAAATATTCCAATATCTTACGTAAAAAGTATTTACTTTTTTTTTTTTTAAATAATCATAATTTTGAGTGAAAAAAAAATCTGAAACTAAGGTGGGACTACTTAGCATGAACTGTATGTGTGTATTCACCTGTGTCCATGTTTTCTTCTACAGCACGCAAACAGGAAATCATCAAGATCACGGAGCAGCTGATAGAAGCCATCAATAATGGGGACTTTGATGCCTATGCGTATGTTACAGACGCAATGTTATGCTATGCTTTCTTACAGACACAAACCACTTTGGCCCAACACATACTATATTGTACAAATATAAGAGCACTATAGCGGCCATTAGTGTAAACTGTCTTCTTCTACAGTCAGTTCTGCTCGCATGGTGGAGCAACAGTTTTATTAAGAGTAAGATGAAAGTAACTATCCATGTATATAGCAGCTACCTGAATAATAATACACAATGGGATCGTTGTAACAGGAAAATCTGTGACCCTGGATTGACATCCTTTGAACCCGAAGCTTTGGGGAACCTGGTTGAGGGAATGGACTTCCATAGATTCTACTTTGAGAACTGTAAGTGTGTTCAAGCAGAAAGACTAAATCATTTATGTGTCTTATAAATCACAGGAAATGGCAGTAGCACCATGCACATGATCTTTCTCCGTGTGTGTGTTTCTCCGCAGTGCTTTCTAAGAACAGCAAGCCCATCCACACCACCATCCTGAACCCTCATGTGCACCTGATTGGAGAAGAGGCCGCCTGCATCGCCTACATCCGCCTCACTCAGTTTGTGGATGGGCAGGGCCGGCCGCGCAGCAGCCAGTCGGAGGAGACCCGCGTGTGGCACCGCCGGGACTCCAAATGGCAGAACGTTCATTTCCACTGCTCCGGTGCGCCGGCTGCCCCTCTCCAGTGAAGGTGACGCTTTGGATTTGTTCATTTTTTTGTACGTTTTTACTTTTGTTTTCACACTGGAGCTTTTGGTGTGGATTCAGATCTGTTTCTCAGTAGAGTTTGATTGTTTTGGTTGTTGTCAAAATGGATTCTGAACAGATCTAGACACTAGACTATAGAAAAACTTGCTCTTTTAACTTACAGTAACACCCTGGCACTGTGAATGAGAGTACTGATGCACATTTTCTTCAGAAAGTGTAAATCTATATCAAGATTGCACATAGTTAAATACATAAATTAAAAACAAATATAAAATATACATCATAATCATTAAGATTTCATCGAGAGAAATTATTGTTTTGTTTTGTTTTATTCAGCAAAGACGCATTTACTAAATAATGTTACAATTCAGCTTTTCCATACAGGAATAAATTATATTTTAAAATATAATCAAATAGAAAACATATTTAAATTTGTAATAATATTTCATAATATTACTGTTTTTGCTGTATGTTCATCAAACAGATGCAACCTTGGTAAGCATAAGCAGGGTTATAATAGTTAACTGAAACGGACACCATAAAAACATTTTCTTCACCTGAAATAAAATGCACAATAACTGAAATAAAATAAAATATAAAAAACATAGACTCATTTTATCTTTGCTTATTGTCAAGGCAACATTTCTCATTTTCATTTAGTTTAACTTGATGTACTAAAATAACTAAAACTGAAATAAAAATATATAAAAATATGTAGACAGCTTAAAAAATATTTAAAAAAAACTAAATTATGACATATTAAAAAAATATAAAAAAAACTAAAATGACAAAAACAAGACAATTACAAAACTTTAACTAAAATTAAAATAAAAACAGAAAATATAAAATAAAAATTCATTCAAAATATTAATAAAAACTAATACTATTTCAGTTATACTAAAAAAGCTCATAAGAGCATAAGAAACTTTCAAAAAGAAAGTCTTTCAAAAATATTACAGTCCTCAAACTTTTGAACAGTATTATAATTTTATACAAAACAAATCCTCGTTTAAGGTAATTTATAGCAATTCAAATAAATTATTAAAATAAATTCATATTAACTATATAATAATAATTAATAAACATTAATAAAAACATTTTAAATAGTTTTTTATATTTTTAAATATATGTATATTTTATTTGATATATTTTTAGAACATTCAGTGAGAGCTGATTAAAAACAGCGTTTCTGTGTTTTTGTATTTCAGAGCGGCCCTGCAAGCGATACATTAGATGCGAGTGCCCTTCACGGAGGTGATGGACAGGGAGGACTGATAGGACGGCAGCAGAGGTCCAGTGTCGGAGCGCTCCGAACCCTCCAGCCTTCCAACGCTGGACACAGCCGTCCTCCCCTGCATGCAAACCGACAGTTATCTCTCTGCCAGAACCACCCTCACCTCTGAGTCCACCCAGCACGCTCCCGACCGAACGTCTTTATGCCAAGACTCAAGATTACATATATTAATCATCGAGCGCGATCATAGACTCCAGGTTCCCGTCTAGAGTTCTAATAACCCGCACGATTGCCGCCTTATCCACGGTCCTTCGCACTCGTCTTCACTGGCCTTATGCCCCCTGCGCCCAGGTACTCCCAAATACAGTAGATCATGTTTTAATAAAAATATCATCATTATTATTGTATTTATTGTTATTGTTACTACTATTGATTATATATGATTATTACTTCCGTCAGGATTCTAAGTATTGCTGTTGTTCTTGAGATTGTATATTTGATGGTCAAATGACTGATGTTTTGTTTTAAAACACTTATTTTGTTCTCTTTTTTTTAAGCATGGATTTAAAAAACTATATATATTTTTTTTTGGTGTTCAGGTAATCTGAAGTCTATTTCGGCAGTGCTGTATATGTTAAAGTTCACGGCTCGCTGGTAAAAGTAAAAAAGCAGCAGCGCACACGTGGTTTTAAGATTCAAAACTCAGTCAATTTTCTCGCGAATATGGTGGCGAGCAGATTTTCTGTCACCGCGATCAGTGTTTGTATTATCAGGTCACCAATCAGATCTCTTGGAGGCAGCTGACAGCATCACATCATTGAGATTCGCCTCGTATATATCTGCAGGTTGCCAAGTTGAATTTCCTTCAAAAAGAGCTGTTTGTCTTTAAATCAGAGCATAATCTCATGTATTGGCCCTTGATGACCAGCAGCTGATGTGTCCTTCTTATTGACAATCAATGCTGATCTGGTTTTATCTTTTTCTCAAGGGATCTTGTAGGATGTTTCGAATGAGTACAGCATGTTGTTTTTAAGGGCCTTTCATTTAAAGCAGCAGCTAATTTACTGCTGTTCGCTGGCCAAGTGTGTTTGAGATTTAAATAGCCATTCTGGATCCCACGGTGATCAGAAACCTGTGAATTTTAACGTGTTTCTACCGTCGTCACAGGAATGTTGTGATTCACCTCGACTCAGGCACCTACAGCTATTCTTTGTTTTCTTTTTGTTCTGTACACGCAGGAACTTTTAATATATGATTTATGTGGTGTAATTAAGGCAGTTTTGTTCTTTGTGTTTTTTTTTTTTTAAGTGTGCGTGTGCGTGTACGTGTGTGTGGTTTTACAATACAATGGCACTGATATCCTGAATGTGAAAGCATCGTCACTATATTAAAGTGTTGAAAGCCATAACGCACAGAGCGAGAATTTCCAGCGGATTGTAAGGATGTTTTTATAAGTGCTGTCTTTCAGTCTAGCAGAACTGGAAGATAGTCTTATGTGGATTGACTAGGGGGCTTCCTGACAACTGGTACTGTTCGTTTTTGACGTCCTGTCAAAAGATTTCTCTCCTACTGAATGTGGGCTGCTACCTGAAGTCACATGACCTTTGTTGAGGCTGCTCAGTGTGCTTTATGTTGATTTTAAAGGAATAGTTCACCCAAAAATAAAGCTTTGCTGAAAATGTAACTCACCCTCAGGCCATCCAAGATGTAGATGAGTTCTACATTCATCAGAACAGAGTTGAAGAAATTTAGCATCACGTCACTTGCTCACCAATGGAGCCTCTGTAGTGAATGGGTGCCGTCAGAATGAGAGTCCAAACAGCTGATAAAAACATCACAAGTAATCCATCACTCCAGTCCATCAGTTAACAAATCCATCAAGACGTTTTTAACTTCTACCCTTGTTTCCAGCAATCCATAATATTGTTTTCTCCAGTGAAAAAGTCATTTTGTCTGAATCAGGAGTGAAATATGCACAAATCAAGTACCATTTACAAGTGAAAACCATTCTAAACAAATATGTCGGTGGATTTTGATGTGAGAGGACAACAGAGGATAGTCTCACTCACTGGAGGAAGTGTTATTATGCATTATGGACTCGTATTTTAGCCAGAAGCAATAGATTAAAGTTAAAAAATGTATAAATTAAAATGTTAATTGATGTACTGGAGTGGTGTGGATTATAGTGATGTTTTTATCAGCTGTTTGGACTCTCATTCTGACGGCACCCATTCACTGCAGAGGATCCATTAGTGAGCAAGTGACGTAATGCTACATTTCTCCAAATCTGTTCTGATGAACAAACAAACTCATCTACATCTTGTACGGCCTGAGGGAGAGACCATTTTTAACCAAATTTCATTTTTAGGTGAACTATTCCTTGAATTTTACTCTGAAATGTGACTTTTATGTTCACTTTAATGAGAGTTTCAAACTCTATGTAAGTGGTGACAAATACAACATCCGCCGCAAACAGCAATCCGCATGTCGACGAACCAGTGTTGTTATTTCTTTCTTATAAGTGTGTTTAGTATTGCAAACAATAATTGAAAATAAAACCGCTCAACAAATACCTTGTAAAAACTACCGCTGCATAGTGTTAACTTGTCTTATAAGTGGAAACTATTTGCATGAACTTCAACTTCACAGTAATACATTTTGGTGACTTTTTTTGTTTCATTCTCTTTGTTTTATACTGAATGCTGGTGATTCTATCTATTTTCTGAGCTTTGTAAGTGCACATAACTATTTTTGTCTAAAAATGATGATAATGACGATGACTGTCATGGTAAAACAACTATTCTGATTGTACGGCATGCTTTTGTAAAGGCATTTGTTGTTGTTTGAGCAGTGTTGGTTGCACCCATAGAAAATGTGAAATAATGTGGTTATTAGCTTGGGTCAATCGCAGCGTTGTCACACTAGGTCACATTATGCATGTGTTTTTATTACGGAATGGATCTTGCTTTGGCTGCCAGTCTACAAAAGGGACTTCGAATTATGTCTGTGTTCAATGCCATTTTAATCAACGACCTTCCTTGTGCTTCGCTCAAATGCTGTCTAACCCTTTAGGGGGCGCTCTTTACCACAGCGTTCTAGTTGGAAACAATGCGTAACGTGACAAGATCTCCAAGAATTCACCCACTTTTCTGCTTAAAAACAGAAACACGATCTTAATGCACTAACAAATTGTTAATGAAACCTAAATGTATATACACTGAATAACCACCAAGTGAGTGTTTAATCTGTTATCAAGTGAGTTCTTCTCCAAACACAATGGCCTGTAGGTTGAAGTGATGAGTGATCTAATCTAATCAGGCCACTAATGGGAAGCTGGTGTGTGTTTGAGTGTGTTACACATAATGTGAAAGAGTGAATCAGTGTTGTGTTTCTCTCGTGGTGGCGCATTGCTGCTCTTACAACATCAAGCCAATTGCTATTTGTAGTATTCACATTTGCTCCTAATGTCTTTTGTAGTCTTTTGCTTAAGTCTAACGGCTTCACATTTCTCTGAAGATCAGCCTTCCAGCTTTGCAGAGGTTTTTTTTTTTTTGTATAGGCCTATAATCTCAAATCATACAACGGGATGATGTGGATTTCTCCTGATTCTTCTCATTAATATTCATATCTGTTCTTCCAATGTGCTCTCCCTCTTTTTCTCTCTATGTGTGCTATAGGAAATGTATTAAGATGTTATCAGTATTATCAATAAAAAGACTATGTCAAAACCTATGTGGTGGTTTTTATATCTACTGTATACTGAACTAAATGCTGTTCTGCTGACAGAGTGATCTTGCTAATAAACGTAGGAGGCTTTATCTGAATGACCAGCTGCCTCTGAAAGCTGATAAGATATGAGAAAACAGCATGTGAATTTATTTCACAACTGTGTGTACTTTTGAGTGCTGAGTCGCTAAAAACGGTTTGTGTTCAGCGGAAACTGTGGTGTAAATACCTAGTACAGACAGTTGTTTGCACCGGTTGTCCAGTACTCTGGCCAGATGAATCAACAATGGCTGTTTACATGCTCATCATTAAGTTATGGTTATACTTGTTAAAGCATGCAGTCTTGTGCATACAAAACGTCTTGATAAACAGGTTTTTGATTGCATATGTTGTTATATTAGTTTATAAACGTACGCAAACTTAGGCATATACAATACTAAATATAAGGACAAAATAGATCTTTCCAAGAGTTTAAAGGTCAAAAAACCTGTCCTGATCCATGATTCTTCCTGAAGTCTTCCAGAAACTGAAATATTAAACTTTAATTTATCTATATTTATGTGTTTCTTTTAGGAAACAAAATTGCAGTATAAGATGCACAAAACCCTTTCCGAAGGTTACACGGTAGCCTACAGTAAATATGTAAAATGGTATTACCATGGTTCTTAATTATGTACCATGGTAATGAATAATCAAGTTATTTATAAAATATAATTTGGTTTGCTAAGAACCAACTACTTCTTTAATATATATGGTATTTTCCTAGTAAAGATAAATATTTGCGTAATGTATTGATCTTTACACAAAATGTGCAGAAAAAATGCTCGCGCCGTGCCGCTGACGTCATGCGTGCTCGTGACGCGGAGCTGGTACTCGCGCTGCCTAGAAACGAGCGACTCATTTATATGATTACGAGACCCGTCCTGCTCCTGATACCTCACTATTTCCCTTTAATTTTTGTGTTTTATGACATTAAACTGCACTATACAGGATCTCCTGCTCTGAGAGTAAGTATCTGATTCGCTTTTATCTATAGTTTCGCAGCGCTTTTGATTTGAATGATTCTGTCAGTGAGGCGTTAGCGAGTCAGTTCTGCATCTGTCAGCAACCTTGCCGGTACTGAGGAGAAACCTCTGTAATTAGACACAGTTAATGCAGTATTTATTTTTAAAGCGGTATAATTTGCTATTTTATTATCTTCCCCTGAGGCATGGGCAGTTTAAACGCATGTTTGATGGTTTAATAGAGAGTTTTGATATTGGCTCGTGTTAGCTGAAGCTAGCCGGTGTGGTCCGTTACGTTACTCATGAGACCTTGACTGCTGCCAAGATTTTAAACTCTTATTTTAACTTATTAGTGACTCTTTTGCTATTTGTTTATTTATTTTTTACCTCTTAAAAATCTTATTCGTTAAGAAAAGCCTTTTTCTATGCACCTATAGTCATGAAAAGTTGACATCAGAAATTCTTTACTATAAGAAACATTTATGTAATTATTTCTGATGATTTTCCACACACTGTTGAAAAGTTTAATGTCATGTATCATGCTCGACAAGGTTTTGGTATCCATTGATTTACTGTACACACATTACAGGTTCAGCGTCCCTGATGCAAGCAGAGTACAAGTGTCTTGTTTATACAGTGTTTGAACTTCTTATTGCAGAAATGACGGCTGTTTTGAGATATGGATGTCATTTAGAGTGTTTCAGGGTTTAAAAATGTTGTTCCACACATATAATCAGTCTTCATAAATTAAAGGACAGCACACAAGTGCAACTGTCTCAGGCTTGGGAAGAATCCTTTGCGTGACTTCTGATCAAAACAGACCTGGCACAACAACATGCTATTCATTCCTAAACATTTACTGTTGCCACAATTTAATTAATCTTATTTATTGACATGCTTCGTCTGGTGTTACTTTCAGTTTCCTGGGACTTTAATTGAATAGACCTTGAGTGGAGGAGTAGGAGGACAAGCACTTTTATTAAAGGAACACATCCAGGATCTGTTGGATTCAGTGCTGCGTGGAGCTTTAGTTCTCGTGGTTGGTTTGGAGAGGCAGTGGAGCTTGTTTAAAGACTGCGATGCATCGCTTAAGGACATGCGCTGCACGGCTACGGCCGCTCACAGCCTTTCAGAATGCTCCAAGTTTCTCACAACAGAGGACAGTGGTGACGCCCGGGGCCCTAAGGACGTTTCAGCCCTTTAGGTGCTATGCGGCCCCTGTCGCCGCTGAGCCTTTTCTCAATGGGACGAGCTCCAACTATGTGGAAGAAATGTACTACGCATGGCTGGAGAACCCAAAGAGTGTGCACAAGGTAAGACATCGGCTCTCAGCATAGAGGATTTTGTGATGAAATCCTGGCTTCATTGCTGCTATACCAAAGTTATGATGCTTAAAATCCATGTGGAATCAAAATTCACCCTGTTTACTTTCACAATACACATTCTTGTTCATATTGTGAAAGATTAATCTGTGCATGTTACACTACAGAAAAACAATTGTCTTCATAATCTTTCATCACAACTTAATAACTTCTCAAAGGACTTTCCTTTTTGGTCTTCAGGTTCATTTTTAAAAGGTGAATTGGTAATTGTTTGCGTGTTGAAAGAGCAGTTCACCCAAAATGAAAACTCTGTCATCATTTACTTACTTCCAATTTAATATAAACCTATATTTATGGTGCACAGAAAGTGATTCTTTGAGGACTCAATTCAAGCACCCATATGAATTTTGCACAAGGTATTTTCTAAAAATCGTGACATCTGCCCTATATTCTTCTTGAGAGGTTGATATAAGAGTTACCAATGTCTTGATTTTTCTAAATGAAATGTCCACTTTTGAGTCAGATATTTAGAAATGAATCATTTGATTCAGTTCACAAGGCAGTTAGAATGATTCTTTTTTTAACTGAACTGATTTGGTTGTCTAGTAAACTGCAAAGGAACTTCTGTGCTCTCCAAGGTTATGCTTGAGGACATCCATGTTTCATAATGTGAATGTTTCCCCTCTCAGACAGTAAACTTAGCTTTGCAGGGCTGTTATGTAAGACTTTTCTTTTCCATTTCACATGCCCTTGTGTGGTTTCCAGGATGTTTTCAAACTGGAACTAAATGTTTTTTGAGAAACTGATGAATGTATCATACTGAAACATGCTAAGTTAAGTGCAGTGGTCAAACTTGCTGTTACCCTTTCATTTAGTTTTGTATCTTTTTTTATTTGTTTGAACAACACACTTAAGCATACCTTTAGATGAACATTCAGTACTGTCTGTATATACATTTATATATTACTATACATATTTATACACATTTATATTACTTTTTTGTTTGTTTTGTTTAAATTAGCTTTAACTATTTTGACCTTGGAAGTATTTCACTCGTCATGAGCCTTGGAAAAAGTATAAGTGAATCTTCAAATGGGCAGCGAAAGATAAAATTACAAAATACAGACAATTGTGGGCAGAAGTACATAACCCCAAAAATAAATAACTACATTTTTGTGGAAACCTATGAAGGAAGTGTGTATACAGTTTCACTACATTTCAGACTTCCCTCCTATGCCCGCTGCGAGATGATACGGCATCGGCTCTCTCAATTTAACACACTGAGCTCTTTAGCTCCTCAAAGCCTATTAGACATTTATCAGGTTAGTATGAGGTCCTGTGTGATGTGTCATTGAATCACAGTGACCTGATATGTAGGAAAGTAAGCCCTCATGAGCAGAACAAGGTCAGACATGGTCTAGGGTTCAAATTGCTGTTCTTTTCTGTCCCTGCATGAACCTAAAGATTTGCAGATGATTGCATCAAAAGTCTTCGGTTATGCAACCGAACATCCAGCTTATCCAGTGTAGTTTTGCTGCTCAGAAAAGCAGTACTGAAGTTTGACCCCTTCCCACAGTTTACTCAGATGTGACCACAGTTCCCATCTGTATTGGAGACTTTGGAAGATGAAGCAAAGTAGATGGTTCAGATTCCTGTGTGATGATGCAAGACATCAATACTGCTAGTCGGCATCTGTTTTATCTTAATAAACCAGAATGACTCATGTACATCATTGGATGTATTTTAACAAATTAAAAGGAATCTTTTTTTTTTTTTTTTTAAATGTATTCTGTGCACAGCACTTGAAGTATTGTTATTATTCTCCTACTGTGATTTCTTTGCTCTTTTCTTAACAGTCTTGGGACATATTCTTCCGTAATGCCAACACAGGAGCTCCCCCTGGCTCTGCCTACCAAAGCCCACCTCCAGTGGGGGTGAGTCTCTCAGGACTGTCTCAGGCCCAGGCACTGGTTGGAGCTCAGCCTAATGTGGAAAAACTGGTGGAAGACCACCTTGCCGTGCAGTCCCTCATCCGTGCCTACCAGGTATGAAGGCTAAAATGTTAATTTCACCAAGGAGGTTGGAGGAGAGGACTCTACTTCTGCTGTTTTCCCATCATCTTATTATTGTACTAATAATAATTCCTGTATTTATAGTACCGTTCAAAAGTTTGGGGTCAGTAAGATTTTTTTTTTTTTAAATAAATGAGAAATTTAATCCAACTAGGATGCATTAAATTGATTGGTAGTGTCAGACATTTAATGTTGCAAAAGATTTCTATTTTAAATAAATGCTTTTCTTTTAAACTTTCTATTTATCAAAAATCCTGGAAAAAAATGCGTAGCGGTTTCCACAAAAATATTTAACATCAAAACTGTTTTCAACATTGTTAATAATAAGAAATGTTTCTTGAACAACAAATCAGCATATTAGAATAATTTCTGAAGGATCATGTGACACTGAAGACTGGAGTAATGATCCTGAAAATTCAGTTGCATCACATTACACATAAATTATGTTTTAAAATATATTCAAATGGAAAACATATATTTTAAATTTGAATAATATTTCACAATATTTACAGTTTTTTTTTTAATTCAAATAAATGCAGCCTAGGTGAGCATGCAAGACTTCTTTCAAAAATATATTTTTTTAAATCTTAACAACCCCAGACTTTTGAACATTAGTGCACATTGATGTTATTTCATTGTTTTGATGACTTCACTTTGTAAAAGATTAAAGAACGAGTCAGCGCTCCTTTTTGCTGGTAGTGTACTGCCTAAATATAGTGCCCTTCCTTCCAAACTTTCCAAGTTTCAGTCATATTGCTGGTATAATATTTGGATTAAGTAGATGAGGACCTCATATTATCCTCATTCCTCATACAAGAGGATATTTTCTACACATAATCATTATCTGCAAATCTCCACAGAATTGATTTAAATATATCCTTACCCCTGGCATATTTTTAAAATTGATTATCTTGGCTAATTTGATTAACTAAAATGCTAGGACCATTTGAATATAAAGAGTTAATCTGTGATTGCGCTCCTCTGTTAGCTTGTAAGTGCTGTTGCCTTGTTCACAGGTCAGAGGTCATCATATAGCCAAACTCGACCCTTTGGGCATCAGTTGTGTTAATTTTGACAATGCCCCGCTTACAATCGGGTCCCATCAGTCCGGTGAGAACTGCTTGTGGTGTTCAGTGTGATTGGGAGCATGCTCATTCAGTGTGTTAACATTGCTCTGTCCTTCTGTCCCTGTTCTTCTGTCATCTCTCTGGTGGTTTTCACACTCGATCTGACCCAATCTTACCTCCTTAACTGTCCATACTGTCCTCCCTTCCCCTCTTTTTCTTTTTCTATCTGTACGTCTTTTTTCTGGAACTCCCTGCAGATTCGGGGGCACCATGTTGCACAGCTGGATCCTCTGGGAATTATGGATGCAGATCTTGATTCATGCGTCCCGGCAGATATAATCACATCCTCTGATAAACTTGGTGAGGTTTTGATCAGGCGTTGGAGAATGATTGAATCTTTTTATGTGGCATGGCTTATTTTTGTGCTGTCCTCCCTTACCTGGAGTATGCATGTAGTCCAGACCTGTTTGGATATTTGCAATGGGTAAAATTTAAACACACCCAACAGTGAGTGTGGTTTGTTTGCAGGTTAAACATAATATAAACATTGCTTGGGAAATGGGTGATATTGGAGACGATGGCCTTGTTCCAAACCTAGCTGCCACTGATCAGTTGATTGCAATATTGCAATAGGCAGCTCAGTACTCTAATAAGTCCTAATATACATATAGCACACACAAACATTAAAGGGGTCATATGATGCTGCTAAAAAGAACATTATTTTGTGTATTTGGTGTAATGAAATGTGTTTATGCGGTTTAAAGTTAAAAAAAAAATTTTTTAACAGGCATTTGTTGCATCCAGTTGGGACATAATTAA